TAATAGAAACATGACAAAAATACTTGTTGTGACAACAATTGTAGTAGTACAAAATTGTCAGTAAGGAAATGTAGCAAGAAAACAATTTACATCATCGTAGTACTCTCACTACAACTATTGATGGATACTAGGCAGGGATGTCAATCATTGTGACACTTTTTGTACTAGTAGTAGTATGCTTTTTGATGCATCACCATATACTAGTGAGGATTATTATAATTATCATTGTGGCACAAACTAGTAGCTACTAGTAGTATTGACATCATAGTCACAGTCAGCATGCAGCTAAAAAATCAACAGTCAATAATTGATTGAAATCTTGGAATTAAATTATGTGGTGCTCATAAACTTTGCTTGGCTCTCTTCTTGCTGTTGTTGCAAAAGGAGAAAACAGGCATGATGTTGTTTCTTATATTACTACTGCTTGTAGTAGTACTAGTACTAGCTAGTAGTAGTAGTAGAGTGCATACTATATTTGTTGCACCAGACCTATTTCCACTAGCAGTAGAGGTAGTGAGAACTTACTAATTGATATTGACATCAAATGTTCTACTACTAGTAGTAGTACTATGAGTCTACACTGAGAGGAGGAAATTTAGAAGTAGAATAGAGGAAACGCCAGGAATTGTGCACCCCCATTATGGTGATCAATATCAACAGCAACATAAATTTCTCGCTGTTGAGAAATTTCAGGTTCTTGTGCAGGATGATCGCTCCAAGTAATACTACTAGTAGTCTAAATTGTTGGCTTGGAACAGGCAGGAAGACCACCACCACTTTTATGTTTCTCAGCATTTTAGTATTCTGATAATGTCTTGTTGGAGGTCTCCAAAGATTTGACTGCTAGTAGCATGAAGAAGAAGAGGTCATTTCTAGTGGATTTTCTTGGTGGTACTAGGTAGTTTTATCTGAATTTCCAATTTGTAATCCTTCTTCTTGACAGTAGTAGTTCTTGCACAAAGACAAGCAGGTAGTAGAATATTTTCAGTAGTAGTAGGAACTCTGCAGCCGCCAGCAAAATTGGCAGATGATATTTATGCTGTTTCAGTAGTTTACCCTGCAAAGAACCATATTCTTTGCATCAATCATACTCACAAGAAATACTACTAGTATTTCTTGTGAGTATAGTAGTACTACTAGCAATCATGAGTTATTCCTTTGATGGTGGACAAAGCACACACTGCTGCTGAGGGAATCAGCTGCTCATAGTCACTTGCTGTATCAATGGGAAAATATCAATAATTTTTTTGACTTAATGGTGGTGATGGGATGTAGCACTCTTGTTGTTACTTTTTTTTTAAGTAAGAAGATGCCAAGGATTGTTACTATCATTAGTAGTTAATGTATGGGAACTTAGATCCTCCCCTCTCCTGTTCCCAATCTACTACTACTAGTACTAGTACTAGACATTGGGTGTTGCAAATTTTTTAAAGAAAAAATAATTTCTTTGTAAACAAACAACAACAAAAAGAAGTCTGTGGCTCAGATACGGAAGTCTTACTATACTAGTGAAACACAACTTCTTGCTACTACCAGTACTTCCAATTCATTCTGGATTCAAGTGTAGCACTGCTCTCAGTATTGAGCAAATACTAAGATAGGACAATTTTGCCATGATCCTCATTTGTGAGGAGGTTATTACTACTAGTACCACCACATACTAAGAATAAAAAACTCAATTGATGACAAGCCAACATGATATGGGCATTGAGAGTTTTCTTCTTCATCAGCACTGAAGATTCAGTGCCTGCTGTTGCCTTTATTTTTTGTGCATTTGATAATTCCATCCACAAATCTGACTGTTTTCTTGTTGGATGTTCTCAACTTTATGGTGTCTCCACTTTCTTTGACACTAGTTGTACTACTTGAGTGGAAGCAATGACCACCTACATATTATGCAGATTAGTCTTATTACTATGAAGAAGTGAAAAAACATGATAAATGCCCATACATGATGTCCAAAAATTGTTTTCTCCCTACAACTACTAAATGATTAAATATCATGTACCTTGAATGGTATCAAACATCTCTTTTTGACAAGTGTGACCAATACAAAGAAGTTGTCCTGGTGACAAATGCTTTAGTCCTGCTACTACTAGTATTACTAGTACTAGCCAGCTTTCATCAAAGTAAGCTACTACTACTAGTATTTTCAAATGATTGTTGGAATGCTTTCAAATGATACTAGTACTGGTAGCACTACCAGTAGTAGTATAGTCACATTTGTACATGTTATGTCAACAAAATTGCTCTTCTTTCTTTTAAAGGGCTACTAGTATTTGGGCACCCATTCCTACTAGTACACTAGTAAAGGAATGTTACTAGTACTAGTTTGAGGAGTGGTACTACTACTAATGGTGAGCAACATCATCATAACTTGTAGTATCACCAAACTGTTACTGGTGAGGATGATTTTTCCAACACAAACTAGTACTAGGAGAAACAATCATAGATGATGGTACAGTGATGGGACTCTTCTTCCTCTGCCATAAAGATCTTCCCCTGACGCATTGTTTGTAATAAATAATTCCACAAGAAAGTATGGCTACTCAATGCCCAATTTCATCACTCTGTGCTTTTTCCTAGCATTTTCACAGTGGTTTTTGACTGTGATTTCATTTCATTGCTTCAGATTTTCCCTCCTACCATACGTTTCATAGATAGCAATACTCTGGTGTAACTTTAATTACATTGCAATGCAACCAGGGGTATGCAATGCAACACTATTTGAAAAAGAACATTGCATTGCAAAGGTCCACAGTGCCATTCTTTCATCCTCCAGTACAATGTCATTGCATAATAAAGTGTGTAATAAAATAAATGAYATCAATATAATTACTTGATAGTAGTCCCATACCACCACTATGCTGTTGCTATTCACTAATTAYTCAATGATGTACCCATTTGTTTCTCACACCACCAATCCAAACTTTMAGCTACTAGTACACACAAAGTCCTCCTTCTTGCAAAATCAGGATTGAGCTTAGTAGTAGTGCATAGTTCACTGTTGATCCTCTGTGGCCTACTACTAAATATCCTTACTRAAGGAGCAGATTCTGCTTGAACAGCAAGATACTTCCTTGCTAGAACAGCCAATGTTGGAAATTGATTCTTTTCATTTCCCACCACCATTGTAGTAGTAGAGGGTTGGAGTGCCTGGTCTTGAAACTCTCCTCATCTTTCTCAAAGGTCACAAGTTGGGGATCTGAAATATACCTAAGCAGCTCCAGATTGCATGATTCCTTGATGCCCTGAGGATTGGAAGGYACTGGTGCAGCTTGCTCTTTTTGTGCCTGTGGCTRCATGATCATCAAAGGGTACTCTTCTGTTCTGGTATCACTATYGACAACAACAGAAGAGGMKGCYRC